CAGCCTTCTCCTGACTCTGTTGTGTGGTTATTACTTGTCCTTCTTATACAGATTTATACTAAAAAGGAGCCAGCCAAACCAGGAAAAATATAAAAAGTACAATTTGAGGAGAAAAGAGCACTAGGAAGTAAAATAGAGCTAAGTGCATGTTCAAGGAGAGAAACAGATTAAGAAATAAAATAAAGAGAGGGGCAACCCCAGGGCAAGAGGCCACCCAGCTGAGTTTCCAACTTGTGAAAAGGAATTAAAGAAAAACTTACAGCTGGGCAGTGGTGGCGCATACCTATAATCCCAGCCCCCAGGAGACAGAGGCAGGCGGATCTCTGAGTTTGAGGCGAGCCTGGTCTACAGTACAAGTTCATGCACAGTCAAGCTTAGGTCATGAAGGAAACCTTCAGAAACAGAAAGCTGGTGAAGACGTAATTGAACAAGGGGGGGCATGTTCCAGGCCCAGAAAGCAGCAGAACTGGCAGCTTTGGCCACGTGGTTCTGGCTTTAGAGTCAAGGATAAAAGAAATGGATTATGGGATTCTCCTCCATGACTAAGGACAGCCACTGAGGTCAGGCATGTGTCATGGGTGTCTCTGAATGGAAGCCCAGAGAGGCCATTGCATAAAGCTGTGAAGTTGAAGCCTGGATTTCACTGGAGACCCCAAGATGTTGGAGATGCCAGAGCCATGGGATCCCTGCTGAAGAGAGCTGCTAACAGGGAGTGGAACCAGCCCAAGAGACAGAAGTGTGTTGCATTCAATAAGGATAAAAGGAGCTGGAGATCTGAAGAACACTTTGACATCAGACATAGAAATACAGAGTTTGGAGTTTTCCCAGTTGGTTTTTGTTCTTGCCTTGATCCATTTCCTCGCTATGCTCCCTTCCCTATGTTTTGGAATGAAAATTTTATATATATATATAATTGCTGTTATGTTGGAAGTATGTGATCAAATTTTTCTATTTTGATTTTATAGATTTTTATAGAGTATTATAGTTAAGAGATTACAGGAATCTCAGAAGAGACTTTGAACTTTGGACTTTAAACATTGTTGCGACTGTGATAGAATATGGGGACTTTTGAAGTTAGACTAAATGCATTTTGCATTATGATACGGTTATAAGCTTATGAGGGTCAGGGTGTAGACTGTGATAGTTTAAATGTAATTGGCCCCCATAAGCTCATAGAGAGTGGCACTATCAGGAGATGTGACTGTGTTGGAGTGGGTGTCGTTTTGTTTGTGTCATTGTGGCAGTGGGCTTTGAAGTCTTCTATGCGCAAATTATGCCTAGTTCTGTTCACTTCCTGTTGCCTGCACAAGATGTAGAACTCTCAGCTACCTCTCCAACACCGTGTCTGCCTGCATGCTGCCATGATGAAATGGACTGAACCTCTGAACTGTAAACCAGCCCCAAGGAAATGTTTTCCTTAAAAGAGTTGTCATGGTCATGGTGTCTCTTTGCAGCAATAGACACCCTAACTATGGCATCCAGCCTCGGACATTCTGTTAGAACATAAGAAGATGAAGAAAGTTTTCTAATGAACTTGTCATTGGCTAAACCAACCTCCTTTACTATTTTTTTTTGGGGGGGGTTTCCAGGCAGGGTTTCTTTGTAGCTTTGGGCCTGTCCTGGAACTAGCTCTTGTAGACCAGGCTGGCTTTGAACTCACAGAGATCTGCATGCCTCTGCCTCCCGAGTGCTGGGATTAAAGGCATGTGCCACCACCACCTGGCTCTCCTTTTCTTTTTAATAGAAGATGAAAGAAAAAATAAAAAATATTGTTGCCATCACCATTCAAAAGTAAAAGATGTTTAAAGGGTTGTGTGACTAGATCAGTTGGCAAAGGGCTCTCACGTAAGTATGAAGACCCAAGTCCAGATCTCAGAATCTGTGGCAAAGGCCAGGACTGTGGTACATCCTTCAGTTCTAGTACTGGGGATTCAAGGACTGGAGGGTCCCTGGAGATTCCTGACCAGTTAGTGTCACAGCATTGGTGCACTGTAGGGTCAGCGCGAGACTCTGTCTCAGGAATACATGGGAAAGGATGACAAAGGAAGACACCTGGCCTCTGTCTCCACATCCACATGAACCTGCACACACCTACACAGGCACACACACACATGCACACACGGGCAGAGACACACTCACACAGGCATAGATACATGCACAGGCACATACACAAAGACACACACACACAGGAGACATATACATGTAGACAAATGATAATAAAACTAAAAATCGAATTTGTGTTTTAAGCAAATACCTTTACTTGACTAATAATAACTATTAGTAGAGTTTGGGTAGAAGGATTCTGCTTAGAAGTTATGTTTAACTTAATAAAAAAAATGGGTGGGTGGAGAATTCTGTAAGAACAAAAGTTGTCGCTGGGCAGTGATAGTGAATGCCTCTAATCCCAGAACGCGGGAAGCAGAGGCAGGTGGATAGCCAGGACTGTTACACAGAGAAACCCTGTCTCAAAAAACAAAAACAAAACAAAACAAAAACAAAAAAACAAGAATAAAAGTTATCAGTGCTTGAGATAGCCTCATTTACACCCCAAAGCAACAAATCTTGGGATTGGCATTGGCATACTAAATTTCTGGTACAAAACCGTCTCCCTGAATCCATGGATGTGACCCAGCATCGTGAGAACGTCCATCTCTAGGACTACCCAAATAAGCAAACAATATAAGAAAAACACGGAAGCCGTATGTAGATTTGGCTCTAAAGACTGATCTTATTCTAAATCTCACAAAAGCGAGCAATCCAGGAAATGAGGTAGAAGGACACATGAAATATTTCCCTTCTGCCACATTCTCCACACACTTTGCACCACAGCACAGTTGGAATAGTAGGAGGCATCCCGCACTCACTATTTGTCATGTTGTTCACGAGAGCGAATGGAAAATAGGAATTGTAGACAGTCAATATTTTCTGTGTTCACCCTGGCGGGCAGCTGGTGAATCCTCCCCTCTGGCTGCTGTTCCAGCAATCCCCACTGCAGGGCAGCAGCAGCCTGCTCAACCTCCAGCACCAATAAATTCAGATATGGCTGGTTCCTTTCCTTCTCCCATCAGCCAAAAAGCCTGCAATTGGACCAGCTCTGAATTGGAAGGAAAGACAGTAAAGTTCCCCCAAACATTTTTAATAGCGCATTATGTAGTCACAGTGGTATTGATGTTTTTGTCTTGGATGCATGGCTGCTTCAGTTTCTCTCATCCTCGTCCAAATAAACACATTCTCTTATCTGTGTGGGTAACTGTGTATGCCCAAGTAATTAAATCCACTGTGGTACAAGCCAAGGAATTGTCAGACATTAAACAAACAGAATATCAGGAACATGGCTGCTCAGGGAAGCTGGGAAGACTGTCCGGGGAACAGAAATACCCGTTTCCTGTGGTTGCTTTCTTTTTCTTTCCAATGACATTGCCTTCTATGGGCATGCGACACCGAGGGAGGTTACCCAGACATGTGCGATGGCTTTGAATCTTTCATATCGTGCATGCTACCCTCAGTCAGGTCTGCTGATGCTCAGAGGGTTAGGAGACAAAAGATCTCCCGACGGCAACAGTAACCCAGCTCAGACTGGCCATGGCTCATGTTTTTACAAGATGACCATCTTCACCCATTGCAGAAGACAAACCGTTGCTGCTAGGTTCTTACAGAGGGGCCTGGAAGAGAAGGCAGCATTTACATGAATTTTACGACAAAACATGAATCTCCAGCCGAGTTTCTCACCTCCCACTATTTGCTCTGCTCTACCTCAGCAGACTTCCAGGAAATTCAATGAACTTTTATTATTTTTATCTTTAATAATTGCATTTATTTAACATTGGTGGCACTGTGAGAGCCAAAGTTACATTTTAAGTTTTAAT